TCTCCCAACTGCAAGGCTCTGCAAACCCCCGCCCCAGCACAAAGACTCTTGAAGCCGCGAAGAGCCTTACTGAAGCCTGCGCCGGGCCTTTGTTTGCATCGCCGTCATCCTTGGAGTTGTCGACAGACTCGCCCTCGATGCGCAAGCGGCCGGCCCTGTGACGTCAGAGGGCCGCAGCCGAGCAATTCATGGTGTCGGAATATATCGGAAGTTTCGGCAGCAATGCTTGAGATGAGCAGAGTTTTCTCACTGCTTGGCCTAACTTCAAGCACCTCTGGCAAGCAGGTTGCGTCTCTTCCGTAAGCAATGTTGACCAGCAGAAGACTATCCTCGTGGCTATTCAAGGCGAGGCACTGCATGATCCACTTCTCGGTAGCCACGCTGTCGCAGAACTCCTGGAACGGCCAGTCGACTTGCTGACTCCCTCCCTCTCTCTGTCTCTCTGTCTCTCTCTCTCTCTCTCTCTCTCTCTCTCTCTCTCTACCGGGACAGGAGAGGCGGGGCGAACCCGGACCCCTCCGCGCGCGGACGCGCACCCGCGGGTCTAGGCGGGGTTTTCGAAACTCCCCCAGGGACTGTGTCCCCAGGCGGCTCGGCTGTACAAAAGCTCCGCAAACAAGGCTGCCCCGACAGCACTGCAATCACACAGCAAACCAGCGTAAAGAACATGAACCCCCCTAAAATGCACAACAGGACTGCAGGCTGAGCTCCCGGCCGCAAGCAAAGCAACCTGAACTAGAGGAACAAGTGACAGGACTCTCTCTCTCTCTCTACGAGGTGGGCGCCCCAGGGTGGTCCGACCCTGAAGCCCGCGCGCGAGCGCGCACCCGCGGTCCCCGGGTGTCTGACGCTTCCCCATACAGATATGCTGTATGGAGCTCGGCTGTACAGCAGACTCCCCCGTGGTCGGCAACGAGATTTGGTAACAGGAAAAAACAAACTTAAGAAAAGCTAAGGCTCGGACCAAGACCTGAAAGTTCTCTTGCCCTTCGGGTATACATGGTTCCCCCCCAAGCAAAGACATGAAGAAAACATGATTAAGAGTACAAGCACGAACACAAAGTTAGCTTGAGGGAGTGGTCAGAGGTACCTAGGCAAAAACGTGCATCCCCCCGCCGACTTTGGCGAGATCTATGTGTTGCCTATGCTGGATTGGTACGAATTGGGCCTAGGCCAGCCTCTTGAATTCCCCTCCAAAGTAGGAAACGAGTGTACAGGTGCGTTAAAAAGACACTAGGATTTGTGGGCCAGGTTGGGCCATTGAGCGAGGTTTACCTGAGAGAAGCATGTTGACATGCTTGTTTAAAGACTTCACACCAAGGAACTGACATGCACTCACGGATTGTCCGATCGTGTGGAAAATCCCCCTTCACACCCCTCAGAAGTCGGCGCGCTCACGGGGACCTTTTGCAACACTGCTCGGAGTTGGTGGCAAGGAGCTTCGTCCCCGTCCCCACTGCAGGCAGGAGGAAAATCCTCCTTTGTCACTGTTCCCCCCGATGTCGTCGGGATCGCTC